CAGTTTTGCTGCACTTTCAAAATCAATCATACATTCTGTTGTAGTGTTGAAAAGTTCGGCATTTATTAAATTTTTAAGAAAAATGTTAATGTGATTAAACAATTCTAAATAAGTACTTTGTTTTTTGTTTTTTAAAAGACAAGAAAAAAGTAAAAAATGTTGATTGTTCTGATAAACACCATGAATAAAATAAGTTTGATAAAATCCATCCGGTGTGGTCGAATATGTGCCATCCAAAAACAGTGTCGTTGGTAATATTCCTTTCATTTTAAGCAATTTGTCAACATTACAATGTATTAAAATAGTGTCACTTTTATATATTAAATATTGTGAATAATCTGGATGTGAATTGAAACTAATATCAGGAAAATGTTTTTTCTTTTTCTAAGAAAGATCCTTTTAGTACTACTTTTTCTTCTTTTTTCGTGTTGGTAATCATATTCATCTAAAACCTTTTCGGTGTTCTCAAACCTGTTTTTGACATCAAAAGCTAAACTTTCCAGTATATCATCCGCCTTTGCTCTTTCTATTGGATTATCTGAAACATCAGAATGAATTGTTTGACTAGAAGTATACTTGAAAGATACAAATTTGGTTATATTATTAATAGATCCTTCATAATCAACAATTGTAATTGAAACTCCGCAATTTCTGTCTTTACATCTAAATTTTAACAAAGAACCACCACTTTGATGAAAAACATGCCCATCAACAACAGGAAGTAATTTATTACTTTGAGTTGACTTTACAGATTCAATGTTATTATATAATGTTTGAAATTTACCTAAACCACCGTCAGCATTTTCAATTAATGATTTTAAACTGTTAATATCAGAACTTATTGTTGTGACAGTTGGTTTTATTTGAAAAGTTGTTTTCAATTGTTTTGAATTGGCTTTGACTGTATTTGAAGTATCTGTTAAAGCACAAGGCAATTGATAATTGTTTAATATAATATCATTTTCATCTTTGTTACAGTGTCCGATGAATTGAGGCAAATATTGTTGAAAATTTGTATGTTGTGTGTAACACAGAATAGGACCGATTCCATTTATTGGTATAATTGGATATTGAAAAGGAACATTAACTTGCCTGTTTATATTTGGTAAGTTACTTGTGTTTTGGAACTGCGAATAACAAAAAACATTTCCAAAGTTACAAATAGGATTATTTACTGTTTGAGATACAAATGATATAGGTTGATCAACTAATCCATAAGATACAAAAGGATACTGATTTGGTAGCATTGATTATTCAGTTATATCAAAATCTGAATATATATAAAAGCATTTAAAAATAACTTGAAAAAAACATCACAATTTTAATTTGTGTTTTTAAATACTTTTTTATCAACAAAATAATTGTGTATTTATTATAAATATTTGTATTTTAATAATTTGATAATTAAAAAATAATCAAAAAATAATCAAAAAATACAATTTTTTATTTTTAGATTTTTTGAGTGAAAAGTCTTGAGTGAAAAATCTGTCAATCATTATAAGGATATAAATCTTTTCGAATATTAGACAAATCAAACATTTTAGGAAAATCTGATAAGTTATTTGAAATCATTGAATAACTATCTTTCAAAACAATTCTTTTTCCATTATAATTTAGTTTCATTTTCATAGTTTTTCCATCTTTCTTAATACATGTCTCAATTCCTTATTTTGCTAAAAAAAACACGGATCATATTTCAAATTATGAAAGTAAACAACGGAATTGTTATCTAAATCAGATAAGAAGTCTTCTACACACTCGCCACCATATTTACATAAAATTTGAGAAGAATTTCGTTAGAATAAGCAACACAATAAGCTTTATGAATACATTGTGTACTAGATTCGAAATCTGCATAATAGTAAATATAGTTTTTGCATTTAGATTTTTTGTTAGTTTTTTCTATTGTTATTGGTTTAACTTTGAAATCTAGATAATCTAATGATTCGATTGATTGTTTGACATAATCAGATAAATCCGATTTTAAATGAAGAACATCACCAAGTGAATAAGGTTCAAATCCATTATGATCTCTAATATATAAAATAAGTTCTGATGATTTGATAGAATTATTATTTTTATCTTTAACTTGATAACATTGTTTATTTTTATTATAACGTTGTTTATTAAACATAGATTCAATTGGTTTGTTGTGATCTAATGCCCATTTATTTATTTCAACTCTATTCTTAAGATAAAATAAAGTAATATAAATATCAATAACTAAGAAATAATTATCACCTTTCATATTTGAATATCTGAATAAATACATACTAATTTCAGTAGCGTCTTCACTATCTGAACCTATATATTTCATTATTGTATTAGCATGATCTTTACGCTTTGATTCTTCACGTTTTATTTGAATTCTAATATTACATGATTTTGAAACTTCATCTATCAATTTAATTTTCTGATATCTTGAATAACAATTAACACGATATAAATCAATAATTTTCTCATCTATTTTAGTTTGTTGTAACGCATATATTAAACAATTATTATTTAATTCAGGTCAAATTTTGTTTTCAACACTAAGAGAATCAAATATTTGTGCTATTTTTAAATATTTAGAGAAACATTTATATTCTTCAGTATAATAATAAGCAAAGAATGCAGCACCATTATTTCGATATTCATTAATTTCATTTTTATAATTATATTCTTCAATTATTAATTCTGTAATAAATAAAGGTTCTAAAACTTCATGTTGAACATAAAATGAAGAATATAAACTGTTTTCAATTTCATATTGATTATATAAACCAAGAGTTTCGTTTGATATTGACTTTAGAAATTCATCTATATTTGTTTTAGAATTTAACATATATGTCTTCCAAGTGGTATCAGTAAATCTATATTTATAAATTAAATTTGCTGTTGAATCTAGTTTTTCAATTAATTTATTAAAGAACTGTCTAATTATACCAATTTGTCTTAATTTCTCTTCAAATCCGCTATTAAGATCAGCATGAATTTTATTATTATCTAAGTAATATGTTACACCTTCTGTTTTATATTCAGTTTTATCTCCATTATCATTTATTGATAGTTTGTATGGCTGATATTCATCATAAATATGATTTCTGTTTTCATCTTCATCTATTTGTTCAATATTATTGTTTAAACTCCATTCTGAATTATTTTTGATATTATCATAATTATTAATCATGTATTCGTTTTCTCTTTTATTCTTAAGTTGTTCATTAAGATAATTATAATATTCTTGAGATATTGCTTCATCATCCATTTCGGTATTATGTTTTAAACTCCATTCTAAATTCTTTTTATCAAATTCTTTTTGAATTTTTACGTCATCTAAATCTTTAATTAATGTTGCTTTTTTATTAATTAATCCAAAAGTTTGTTTATTAGTTTTATTTAATTTATTGAAAACTTTTGATAAAAATGGTTGTTCTAATTTAATAGAACTTTTCTTATTGTCTTCAATTCTTTTTAATTGAGCTTCTAATTTTGCTTTATAATGTAAATATAAATCTCTTGTGTTAATACCCAAAGCAATTAATTCTTTTCTACATTCTTTGTTATTAATTTTAGTAGATGCTGATTTAATAGTTCCAGCTTTAATTGTGAAACAAATTAAAATATCTTCTTCGGAATAGTTATTAGTAAATTGATAAAATTCTTTAATCTGTATTCTTGTGTTGTGCTCATTTTAGGGAAAATATAAATATAAATAATAAAAAATAATTCAAAAATAAACTCGGTACTATATTTCCAAATTTTGGATAATTCAGATTCGCGTACCTCGCGATTTAATTAAAGTATTATAAAATATAGTTTAAAAAGTCATTGTCCTAAATCTACATAATTTATATTCTACAATGGATACTTTTTTTGAGAAATGATTTGGTTATTTATTCATAATAAATATATTTTCCAATAAAATGGATTAAAATCGATAAATCATGTCTTATTAATTAATTGTTTTTAAATAGTTAAGTACCACTTTTTTATTAGAATGAAACCATAATTAATAAAACATAATAACACTAACAGATAAATAAAACAAAGCACTCCATTCCTATGTGATTGGAATGAATGAAGACATGTGAAATTAAAAATCCTTTTGAATTTCGTCGAGGTTTTTTCTAAGTCGTTGATTTCTTGTTGCTATGAGGCTGTCAATTTTGTCTAAAGATACATCCGCGTCAAGATCCGAACGATTCTCAACGTCATCATTGATTGCTATAAAACACCGCGAAACTTGATCAAAGGTCGGCCGTTTGCTGGGATCTTGGTCCCAACAGTTCACAACCATCTCACTGTAATATTTTGGCATTTTTTCATCAACCAGAAGACGCTTGCCTTCTTCAACATGTTTCTTAATATCAAACACACTCTTTAACTCGTTATATGGCTCGACTTGGTAAAATACTTGCCAAGATGTGATTGCAAATGAATAGACATCACCCGCAAATGTGTATTCGTCTTTGAAAGTCTCTGGTGCGGCATAGATTGGCGTGCCGAGTCCCCTGTCCTCATTGTTTTTAATTGTCTTTTTTGTAAATCGTGATGTTCCAAAGTCTGTGATTTTGATAGAACACGCACTATTTGGGTCTAAAGAGTTTACTAACAAATTGTCGGGCTTCAAGTCGAGGTGCATGATTCTGTTCTCATGAAGAAATTGCATTCCGCGTGATGTGTCAAACAACATCCGCACTTTCAATTTGTATGGCATCTTTATGAAGTCACTCTTGTCTGGTGTTAAATATTCACCCAATGAGCCCAGTACAAAGAATTGGATGACCATCGAGACTTGTGGGATGTATGTCACTGACCCCATGTAACTCGCTATGAACGGATTCCGTAATTTACTCATGATCTCACACTCGGATGTTACTTCTTTCTTCAGTTCTGATACTTCTTCTTCATCCAAATTCTCCCATCGGAACTGTTTCACAGCAACAGGAACACTTCGATAACTTCCAATATATACACGACCCATTGCTCCTTCTGCTATCGGCTTTTCTGACATGTTCAACTCGTCCATATCAATAAAAGTTGAACTTGCTGCGTCAGTTTTTATTGTCAAATTGTGATGCATTTGTCTCACTACTCCCTTCCGCAAATTACTCATTTTTTGTTCGTCGTCCACAGACCACGTTTCAAAATCCTTGTCTTTAAGTACTTCCGAAATATTTGTTAATGTGCTTTTACTCTTTGAGAACCAGATAGTGTATGGGATCTTCATGTCTCTAATTTTAGTAGTGCAATTGAGTGTCATATATGTGATCATAGGGACACTGCCTCTTCTTGGAGGTATTATTACCACTTGTGGCTCAAAGTGAAATACATATTTAGGGTTATTTGGAGTGTGAAATATTACCATCATGTATTTGTTCTTTGAATAATTTTTTATTTCCATCTTCTCGAATCGCGTATCTGAAATGGTTGTTGCGGTGTTCAGATTTCCAAAATCCAAATCGATTGGGTCAATTTTATATTTTGCTTCTTTTGATGGAAAGACACGAGTTGAGCCTGCAATGTAAAAATGGTAAATTGGTTGCTGTTGCTTAAACACATCTATATCAGTTCTTCTGTATCTCATACCACATCTCACTATAACTATCACTATGACAATCGTCACTATAGTGAGACCACCAAAAACAACGATCATCCCAATTATCTCTCGAACAGGAAGCGTCTTTTTGTAACACGAAAACTCGTCTTTTGGATTTGTAATATACCCCTCCTCACATATGCAATGTGGTGTGCAATGAGTACCGTTATCACAACTTTCAGTTCGAATGTATTTAGAGTAAACGTCAAAGTACTTGTCTATTTTACCATTACCACATGCAGTGTTGGCACATGTCCCATTGGTAGACTTTTTAAACCCTTGTGTGATGGCACAGCGACAGTTGGCCATACATCCTTCGTTTGAAGCATAACACTCATCGTTTGGGCCAATGTTACCTGCAAAACATTCAGCAGACAGACACAAGTGATTTGATAACACATTTCCACTTGTACAATGGCAATACTGATCACAATTTCGCGTTCCAAAGTAACACAAATCGTAATTAGTGTTTGTTTGCCAAGTACCATTAAAAAAGCAGAGGGAATGACAATCATCTCTAAATGTTATTTTAATTTGTATTACTTTTAATTGATGTTTATAAATTGCACGTTTCTTTGTTATGTTTATTGGTTAAACTGAAGCATTATAGTGTCTCAATAATATAAAAGAAGTAGTTATGTGTCGGTAATGCTTAAAACAACAAACCCTCCAAATCCATCTTTACAAATACACTTTTTGTCGATTGTGGAACAAGTTCCTCGAATTCCGTTGGGGTCATTTTCTCCACAATTGTCGGGGCAAATTACACTGACTAAAAGTTCCATCTCAGCGTTCATTTCTTCGGAAAGGAGAGCAAAATATCTGATGTGCGGTGAACTTGATATCTTAACTAAAACACCATTTTTTAAATCTGATGCTAAAAAGCCATGTCTCTCTCCACTCCACAAACTGACACACTCTGTCTTTTGTGTACCATTTTCGAGGGTGAATTTATTATATTCAGTCAGATAGTGGTTTCTATTCACTTTTCTCCCATCTAAAGCTAAATTAAAGTTTCCTGTAAAATTTACAGTAAAGAGAATCACTTTAAAAAGTTTGTCTTTGAGACATATGGGAAACCCAAAAAATCCTTGTGATTTAAAGGAAAACACTATATCAAGAGAGGAAGACAAGTCGCTATACAAAGAGTCGACATCTTGTTGTGTGATGTCTTTGAATGATTCAAATTGTTTACCAACTCCTTCTTTAATTTCAATTTCCAAATTCAATTCACATATATCTGAAATACTGATGTAAATATAGTAATTAAAACTGTCAGTGCCATACACACCAAAGGGAGAAACCTTGGGGGATTGGATATCTCTTGTCGTGTACGAAGAATTGAGGAGAGTGTATGACAGACAATACCCACTTGAAGCATTTTCTTGTGAATTTGTTATGTCAACCTCAATATCAGATAAACACTCTGAAGTCTTTTTCAAAGATAAAATGAGCTGGTCTTTTGTAATTTTACTCATGTCGACTTTAAACCATTTTCCAAGCCTATATGGATTCTTGTTGTAACAAAAAGAGTGGTCAATATCACTTTTTGAATTCAACAACACTGCTATTTTGTTTCCAAGAATAAGTTCTGTAATTTTGTTTGATGGTGGAAGCCATGACGTTTTTTGAATTCTATTTGGAGCTTTAATACATGTTTTCGCTGAGCTGAGATAAATTGGTTTTGTTGTGTCTTTGGGATCAGTGAAAGTACAATGGAGACATGTATTGTCGTTGTCGTATGTATCGCCACATGTACCTTTGCATGTGTAATCCGACACACAGTTACCCTGACAGCCAGGAGAACAGGTAACTATACCAAGTGTATAGCAGAATACAAGCAATAGCAATGGAATGTACATTGGAGTAAATAAATTATTCAGTTGTTGTGTTTTATTTGGCTTGTGTGTTTTTAATGGACTTTTTTGATAAATTTGGTTTTCATTTGAGATATATATATTTGCACACGTTTTAACCTTGTTGCCGTGATGTTTTTTAATTGCCAAACAATGACTTAATGTTTATGAAAATAAGGGATTGTTTCGAGGACAATAAAAAAACGAGGCGTAATAATCAAAATGGTAATATGATGTGTCTTTTCTTATGAAACGGCCCAATTTTTTACAAGAAGTTATTATAATACACTGAATTCTAAATTTGGAACCGTAAAATTGTTTTTAAAAACATAAAAAACAATCAACTACGATTTTCTTTAGAAACCCTATATATAGAATAAAATGGCTGTATCACAGAAACGATTTTGGGCGTACGATTTCCATTGTCCAAGTCCAAGTTTTATAGGAGAATTGTTACAATAAATACGCAATATACTTATTTCATTGTTATTTGACACGAAACTAAATATAAATAATTGAAATTCAAAAGATTAAAAAGAAAAAACACAAAAAAGACAATAAAGACTAGTTATCTTTAACTTATTTTTATCTTGATCCTTTATAAATTAATTTTTATTTTATAAATCTAATTTTAACAATTAAATCAATACAATCTTAAAAAACTTAATATTAATTAATTTTCAATTAACACTTTTTTTATATGATTTGTTGACTAATATTATTTTTAAAAAAAATAATAATATTATTATTAAAAAATTATCATTTAAAATTTTGATTCACTTTATTGTAATCTTTTTAATTATTTTTTAAGTGTAAATTATTTAACATATTTAATAACTCATTTGTATTTATAGAATTAGTCTTTCATTGATTTATTTTTAGATTATTTTTCTTTAATTAATTTCATAATTAAAATATTTAACAACAAAAAAAGTTATAGTTTTTATATTTATTAATTTATTTAGTACTATTATCTCATAAAATTGGGTTTTACAATAATTATTCAATATGGTATTTTAAATTAATAGCAATATATAATAAATAATATAATTATAATTAATATATATATAGTTTTGTTAATATGTTAACAAATAACCACATTAATACAAACACCTAAAGAACTAACGGGCAAAGGAAAAACGACTGGCAAACTATAAAAATGATTTCAGAAAACCATTTTATAGTTTTTTCAATGAAAATTTTAAAAAATCGGACAAAAAAATAAAAAACTATAATTTAATATAGTTTTATTATTTGCCCGTCATTTTTTCTGTGCCAGAACATTTTTTTATTTGTATCTAAATTGTTATTTTTAACTAAAATTATTACTTATTAGACTTCTGTATTTTGTGTCAAAATCGCTTTTAATAATCAAATTATAAATTGTAGTGTAATAATAGTAAAATAACCCATGAAATATAGTATTTTTTTGATGAGACAGTTTTGGAAAAAAGAACATAAACGAAAAACAAATGGAAATAAACGAAATTGAATTAATTAAATTAAATAAGTATTACAACTAAAAATATGGTTTTATTTATTTTATAAAGCAAAAAACCTTACAACCTGCTGTTGTACAACCAAATAATATTTCGTCATTTTTGAATAAAATAAAACTATATTAAAAAATTATTAGAATATAGTTAAAATTATTAGTTCAAATAATTTTTATTTTACTCAAAAAAAACAATTGTAAAAAAAATAATAAACTTGTTTTTAATTTTTTCTGGTTTTTAATAAACAAAAATGCCACAGATATTTCTTTTTATTACCAATTTCAGTAAAAATAAAGACGAAAATATTTATTAAAAACAAAAAAAGTGTGTATGGTAAAAAACAATGAAATGTAATAAGTTGTTATACACAAGGAAACTTATTTTTTAAACTTAAGACAAGTTAATGGAGCGTGTGATTTTGCGTCTCCCTGCAATGTTTTTAACACTTTTTTTATGTACGCTTGCGGTCGAAGCCGGCAAAAAATGTCAAATGCTCACGGAGTATATATCTGATGGATTCTCCATCCCAAGTTGCGTAGGAAGTGAGGCTAAAAGTGGACTGTATGTCACAACAAAGGCCATATTTTCTGAAAGTGCGGAATGGATGGAAGTCTTTGTAAACGATGGCGGTGTTATTCAAATTCCGACAGGTAAAAGAGTCACCGTAAATACAGAAATGACGGTTTATGGCAACGTCACAGTCACTGGTGAGATGGCCATCGCCACTTTAATAATTAGTAACGTGTCAAACCATTTACACGTTTTCGAGGCGATAAGTGTGGACAGTGTGTCATACAGTTCTCTTTTCAAAGAGATTGCGTTCTTGGCGAAGAATATCATAAAACTTCCGAGCGATTTAAAGAAGGTGGACTGCGGATACACTGATGGGTATTACAGAGTTACAGCGAACAAC